TTTCTACTAAATAATCCCTCATTTTTTGATAAATATTTTTCCAATTCGCGGGATCCTCAAATGCAAACAAAAGCAACTCACTTAATTTAAATTTTACCTTGAACATCATCTTCTTCCTTCTCTTCTATCTCATTTACACTTATAGTGTGAATCACTTCTTCATTCTTAGTATATTCATTCACGTTGTTTCTATTGAAGTACTTATCAATATCTTCTGCTTGGCTTTCAATTAATAACAACTAATTTCATTTCCTTTTCCTTTTTTGAGCTCCGGACTCATATTTAGAAAGCATGGCATATGACTACTGCCTAATGATTAACCTAAAATGATAATAAGAAAACATCTCAATCATCTTAAATTAAAATTTTCAACATAATCACTACATGCGCCAATGAGATTGATCTTATGATTAAATCTAACAAAAGCTAATATAACCCAACAAGGGTGCAACACTGCAATGCAATCATATAAGACGACAAAGCTTCAAGCATTTCCTATATATTTATATATAAGCAAGGGTGGGCCATTGTTTACCTAAGAAATAGGACTTGAGCAAAACTTATGTCATTATGCGGCAATTTGAGAATTCTATCGTGACAACTCACAATCCTTGAGTGAAAATTAACAACAACCACAATAACCAATTAATTATTGAAGATAAACATAAATTAAACGTAAAGATATATTTAATACCTTTGGCACCTACAAATTATGTCAACACCTTTAAATTACACCCGTACAATATATAAGATTCCTATATTTCTTAAAATTGAGATGTGCACTAATAAACCTCCAATGAAACATGAATCGAGTTTGTTTATGTCGTTCTACTAAGGTACTAATCTTAATCTCAAAGCAAAAAATTGTTATTAATATATAATAGATCCATGTTTAAGTTTTATCTTGATTTTTCAACAATAACTTATCAAAAAGCTCTCTTTGCTTTGAGTTAGAGTTGAACGCATGAAAAGTGGGAAACAAATCATATCCCAGTAAAGACTCCATCTTATCACCAATAATAAAGACAAATTTCAATAAAATAATCCTATTCAGCCCACTTGATGTGAACCTGCGTAGTCAATCACTACTAAACTCATAATCAAGATTGAAATCGTCCCCAAAAAGGCCAAAGCAAGGTTTTGGATTAAACCCAATAAACTTGGAACCAAGCAACCCAAATCGCCGACGATGTGCGGACCTCTTGATTACTCAAATTAATTGAATATCACCCGATTTTGTAGATCTGACCCAATACGCTGAATCAAACAACTGTCACAATCATATAGATATGCCGACCTTTTGATTACAAAGAATTATAGAATCAAAATCTTAGTTTGAACGCCACAAGACTATTAATTTTGATAAGTTCGATTTCTTTCCATCCAGAACAAGAATTGAAGCAAGCGTCCCGAGAGAAAATTCTCTATTTTAATTCATCATGTCAAAAGTTATGAATACAATGACAAATGTAATCCCTATTTATACTAAAACCCTAGAATCTAATTAAAATTGGGAAAGAACGTCCAAAATTACTTAAATATGGAAAAGATTAGACTTCTAATCAAAATAGGAAACTTGCGAAATTTCTGAAAACTCTATCCCGAAACTGCCTTATGCGGATCAGATCACCACTTCATCTGAGAAATTGATGTCAAAAATGAGAATAACGAATATTGAATATATAGAAATCAAATTTTATACCGGTAGGCATGCAGGCAGTGGCATGGATGGTGATAGACTGTCGAGAGAGAACTAGACTTTTGCCTTCTTGGCTCTTTACCTCTCGCATGCACCGGCACAGAGGAAGACTGTTAGATGAATAGGAACGATGTATCAAAAAAATAAAAATAAAATATTGAGGTCCTTTAATTGTTGGGCCTGAGGCATGGGTGGTGAGCCTCTCTGTCCAAAATCGGCTCTGGTGTTGTGTGATTGTCAATTTTTGTACAATCATCAAAGGAAGCCATATGTTTTGATGTTTTTAATGAAATGGGTTCCTTTTGGTTTACCTTACGATATTTTCTCCCTTCTGATTTACAAATTGTTTAAACAATACAGGGAGAGTCCTGTTACAGTTTATGTGATGCTGAAAGAAAGAGAAAACCTGATACTGCATAGTCAGTTAATGATAACCTTTATGAAAATAGGTTATTTGCTTGATTTGTTGGCAAACTTTAAAAACATCGCTTAAACATGAACACTGTGAGCTGTAGAATATGTCACAAATGAAAGTTGCACATGAGATTCATAGCAAGGGAACTCAGCAGTAGAACAAACCAATAGCATAAACAATTTTAGGCTTCGGAAGGTAAGCAAAATT